GGGTTGCTGTCTTGTCAGTGGCATTCCAACTTACCAACAAACCTACCCCATTAAATAATAAAAATTAAAGAGAAACAGAGAATTTATGAAAATGATAAATTTATAACATACCAAACAAAATCTGATACATTTTACTTTACAGCCTTCCTCCTAACATCAAAGCCCAAATGCAATTTCAGGACCACCAACCCTGCTCTGAATTGTAACCTCCCTATGCTTGAAATGAGTTGCATATTCTCTTAATATTCTTCCAGAGTTGCTTGCAAACAACTTTTTAGCTAGCATGTCAGCAGCCTTCATTGGTTTGGGAAGATTGGTGAAAGTGTCATTGATGTTGATGCAACCTTGGTAAACCCCAGGGCCTGATTCACTCCCTGGAATTTTGTTGCAACATTGTATCATCAGGCTTTTCAGTCAGATTAGCCTTGTGTACAATGAGGAAGACATGAGAATGACTGTAAATTGTTCAAGGTAACGTGCGTGCCTTGACATCTGCAAATTTCTGATAATCAAATGTTGCATATTGAATTGTTTCATATTCAGTGGTATGCTGCCTTGACATCTTCATGTAATTATATATTTACATTAATATTAACATTACTGATTACGAAAAGCAAAAAGATGGTGAATCTATATACTTACTATGAGAGATTAATAAATCCTTTCAATATAAGGAGATCAATTTATCTTTGGATTGACACAAAAGAATATTGAAAGAGTTCTTTCTATGGAATCTTAAAAGACTTTTGATATTGAAATATCACTAGATGAATTAGCTAAAATTCGAAACTTGATTTAAATTCCATAGCTCTCAAGTTCAATGCCAAGATTATCAAAATCTTTTGTATCTTGCATATCTATATGTTTCCATATTCTGTATCATTATACATACCTGACTTCCTTCCTTTCTCATATTCTCTGGCTCAACATAATTGTTATGATTGGTTTTTGTAAATCTCATTTTGGGTCAGCAGGATATTTACCACTTTCATGCCTTTTATATGTCTCAGCTTTGCTCTCCCTGGCCATTGCTTGGTTTGATTACCTTGGATACTTTCAGCTTTGATTTCTTCTATTTCTTTTATAAAATTTTTAATCTTAGCAGTGGTATAATACTTACTCTCAGGGTTATAATTACAGCACTTTAATTCATTGTATTTTGGGATGATA